TTATTAATGTTGAAAACAGTTGCTGCTTAATATTTTTCTGGAATCTGTAATACATTTTTTTCAGGATTCTTTGATTAGAATAGAAAGTTCACAAGAACAGATTTCTTTGAAATTGTGTAACATTATAAATTGTTTATAAACATAAATCCTTATTGTCACTTCAGATCAATTTTATTCATTCTTGCTGATTAAACATATTAATTTCTTTTAAAAAACTGTAATTGACCCCAAATATTTGAACAGTACTGTATATAATATAAATATATATGCTCTATATCTATTGCATACTGTACAGTTATGGACATGAATGTATTTTAATTTATATTATATTTACATTTGTTATATATTTACAGGAAAATGGCAGGCGACAAAAATCCAAGGTGTGTGAAAAGTTTGACCATTTGTATGCCATCCTGGAAGACAGGAAGAGACAGATGAACCTGAAAGTGAACGCTGAACAGGAAGAGAAACTGAATTACATACGTGGCCTCACAAGGAAGTATGGAGATCATCTGGAGTCCATGACCAAAATCATGGAGACAGGAATCCAGACTATGGAAGAACCTGAGATGGCTGTTTTCTTACAGGTCCTTTATACCTACAACAGATTACAGAAACAGGATGAACCCAATAATGGAAAACTTTTGATATATTTATTTATTTTTAAAAAATACATTATAAAAAAAAACTGCCTGGAAAAGTCATGGAAATGAGAAATGGATATCTTTTGTAAATATACTGTTCTCTTGTTTGCTCTGCTCTAAAATATTTAATCTTCTAGATAATTCTTTTTGCAAATGCTGTTTCGAGAAAAACATGACTGCAGACCAGAATGAAAATATAAGTCTGTCTGTTGAGGGTCTTATTGGAGGCATTCATACACTATTAATTATAACTGTTTAAAGCCATGAATTCAAAAGACTGGCATGGAAATCCATGCCAGTGATGAATGAGATAATGAATAAAATAATAAAAATAAAAGATTGATAAAAATTTGTGGGAACCCTGTAGAAATTCACTATATTTTATACATAATTTGTGTTATCTTGTTGTGAAATAAATCTCTTTTTCTCTTACACATGCCATACAGAATGCCAAACCCCTCTTGCAAAAGTAAGTGTTGATTCTTTCTGCAACATTAATGTGTATTTTGAACAAACACACAAATTGATTTCTTGTTTGCTAGAATTGCAGAGGCATCAAATACCTCGCACCTGGAGAGAGTGGAGCGTGGCTATGAAAACATGGATCATTACTCTGTGAGCTTCAAAAGAGAGGGCAGGGCCCTACGCAGTATCGACTTCGCCAGAGGTACGGCTCACCTGAAATGCTCATTAACCTGATTCAACTTCAACTATCAACATGTGTGGGTTTAAATCAGGTTAGCTTGTTGAATTGATTAAGAAAATAACGTTTCGTTTTCATGTGCTATTCAGAAGCCTCTTAAGCATGTTTTCAGATTGTGACTCGACGAGCAACCAGTTCAAATGCAAGTATTTGCCCGTCAGTTTTCTAAAATCCACTAGAGATGTGATGCTAAAAATTGTCAGTGTTGTATGTGATCAGTATGCGGTTGATGGTATCTTCACGTTCAGATTGGTTTGAGAAAAATATCCATTTTATATGTTAAAGGAATAGTTCACCTAAAAATGAAAATTTGCTAAAAGTTTACTCACCCTCATGCCATCCAGTATGTAGATAAGTTTGTTTCTTCATTGATTTGGAGAAATTTAACATTATATTTCTTGCCCACCGATGGATCCTGTGCAGTGAATGGGTGCCATCAGAATGAGAGTCCAAACAGCTGATTAAAACATCTCAATCCACAAGTAATCCACACGACTTCAGCCCATCAATTAACATTTTGTAAAGTGAAAAGCTGCATGTTTATAAGAAACAAATCCATCATTAACATTTTTTTAACTTAAAATCTTTGCTTCTGGTCAAAATGCGAGTTCTCTATTCATAATATTGCTTCCTCCAATGAAAAGGTCATCTCGTCTGAAACAGGAGAGAAATATGCAGAGATCAAGCATTGTTTATAAGCAAAAACAATTCTAAACAAATGTGTCAGTGGATTTTGATGTGAGATTACAACAACACACAATGAACTTTTTAACTGGTGGAAGCTTTTATGTACTAGTATTTTGGCCAGAAGTAACCTTTTAAAGTTAAAACACCTTAATGATTTTTTCTTACAAACACACAGTTTTTCACTTCACAGGATGATAACTGGTAGGCTGGAATCATGTGGATTATTTATGGATAATTACAATAATCCATAAGTAATCCACATGACTCCAGCCGATCAGTTTGTAATGTTTTTATCAGCTGTTTGAACTCTCATCCTGACAGCACCCATTCACTGCAGAGGATCCATTGGTGAGCAAGTGATGTAATGCTAAATTTCTTGAAATCTGTTACGATGAAGAAACAAAATCATTTACATTTTAGATGGCCTGAGGGTGAGTAAATTGTCAGCAAATTCATTTTTGGGTGAACTATTCCTTTAAACTCTCAATGTTTGCAGATGATGAAGAGGAGGAGGAGGAGGAGGAGGAGGAGGATGAGGTGGGTGTCGATGCGGACGGCCGGGCAGGGCAAACAGACTTGGGAGAAGTGGATTCACTGAATAAAGCCCTTCCGTCCCTTCTTCCCCCACAACCCCTGAGCACACGCAAACCCGCTACATCATCATAACGTCACAAACACAAATATTGATCCAACATTCATTTTGCAACCTGTTCAAAACAATATGGACACTGACTATTTTACCAGTGACTTTCAGGTACTGGTACTGTTTTAGTAACTCCTTAATAAAAGTCACTAGATGACTAAATATAAATGGAGATGACATAAGAATCCCTTCCAAGATTTGTGGTGTTGTTTACTGCGTAGAGAGTGTTCGCATGGTATTTTCATTGCAGTTGGCACAGCAGTGGTGTTTGAGTTATGAATGATATGATTCGCTTTAAATATTCTCTGGATTTCATATTTAGAAACGTCAACATCAAATAAAAGGTTACCTTATGTAGTGTAATCATTTGTAACAGATTTAATTCAAACCAACATCCAGTTCAGTTCCAAAAGCATTGGTGTATCACATATACAGCAGATGCCTAATCTACATGAAGAAACATCCGTGGCAAAGCGTGGAAGTAATCGCCACATCTCTTTGCTCACAGGGTTGTCTTCCCCTGGTCTCGTAGGTGAAGTGTAAACAAGTGTTGCTCACACATCTTGGTGGTCGAGCTGAAATAACAATGCCAGCACATTGCATAATCCATATATTCTGGCCCAGTGGAGGGTGATCAGTGACAGGATGTGCTTCTGGCTTCACACAGAGAACGGCTACAACCAACTTAATGAGGTCCAGGGAGCACAACCCCAAAACAACACTCGTCTCACCATGTGTGGCTTCCACCTTCTGCAATGAATGAACAGTGTTGGGGGTAATATATTACAAGTAACGCGAGTTACGTAATCAGATTACTTTTTTCAAGTAACTAGTAAAGTAACGCATTACTTTTTAATTTACAAGATATGCATTAATTCATCTCACTCACAAAAAAAACAGATTCAGTATTCCTCAAAATGAATAAAAATAATGCAACTCAGAATATGACGCAAACCTGCAATAATTAAATGTTAAACAACGCAAATATCCTTTATGTATTTAATCCCATTCTATTTGCTTCTGACTTTCGATGATCCAGTTCAACCATAATAATAAGCACAAATTACTCTAGACAAACATTTGTGTCTATTTGTTTATTGCTGAAGTGTAGAAATTTCTTCTTCTGCATTCTAATGTACGGACGTAAATTTACTTTCCCTTCAGCCTGAGGCTTATTCATTTCAATTTTGGTGTGAAAAGGCTTTTATATTTGCCAAAAATATAACTTTTTTATTTTAAAAACAAACAAGCAAGCCATGTCCGGATTTAAAAAGCAACGCAAAAGTAACGTAACGCATTACTTTCCATAAAAAGTAACTAAGTAACATAATTAGTTACTTTTTTATGGAGTAACGCAATATTGTAATGCATTACTTTTAAAAGTAACTTTCCCCAACACTGTGAATGAATCCTAGTGAAACTGAGTCTGTGGTGCTGCGTAAAACATAAGGTGCCTTGTTAGTTCCCATTTGAGTTATTGATCAAATTTAGATGTGCTTCACCCATTTAGTTTAAGACATGGTTCAGTGAAACCAAGATCTCCAGTGCTGTAGAATGAGTCACCACACATCAGTTATTTGGTTTGATGTGAAATGTTTCAGTCATCAACAGTGTTTATACTGCATTTGTTAATCAGTTGCCTTTGTAATCATGGTCATGTCTACTACATTTTTTCCCCATTAACATTTTGCCCAAAGAATGTGAATTATCTTTTCAAAGACATGCTGCCAAATCCAGAAAAAAAATTCAATTTTGAAGTCTTTTTTATTATTATTATTACATTAGTGTAATTGAGCGTCAGAAAGTATATTGATTTAATAATTCAGTGTATATGTGCAATATACTCTGAGGTACATTATATGTGTTTATGACTTGTTTGAGCTTTTTTTATTGTTAGGTTCAAAGGTAAGTGGTAAAAAAAAAAAGTTAAACCAATCAGGAACAAGATGCCATATCTGTCAATCATCTCTGGATGACCTTCGTTTATTGATCCTTAAAGTTATAAAAAAAAATTTAAGAGTTTGCAGTTATCTTGACAACGTTTTAATGCATTGATAAATACATTTTACGCAATGACTGTGAAATATAAGTAGATGTATTTTTAATTATTTAATCACTTTTTCATGTCAATAATCTAGACAAGAGGTGTCAAACTGGCTTTCAAAGTTTTATTGAAAAATATAAATATAAGACATTTTCTTGCACAACAAAAATGAATGGTTGCTCATTAGTTTATTAACAAACTTAGACAATGTACTGTATGTCACAATGAAACTCAAGTCTGTCAGATAAAATAATACAGTACTGGAAAATAGTATTTTTTTAAGAAACTCAAACGTTTTCTTAATCTACAGTTCTGAATGATCACTTATACAATAACATTGATGGAGAGTGATGACAGTTTTGCGCTTCATATACACCTACTGTACTCTATTCGCCTTCATTGAAATATCTACAAATAAATAAGTCACCGGTATAAATAGATCATGATGGAAAAGCAGCACTATGGTACAGAATATTCATGTTTGTGCTAAATGTAAAAATATCTTTGGCTGATGGGTTTGCTCATGGTTACTTCCCGAATATTTCCATCATTTTGCGGTTGCTGTGAGCTTGCTGGGCCATTTGTTCGGCTCTGGCCATCTCCAGTACTTCTCGTAGCAGATGAAAGGTCAGATCCAGGGAAATCGGTGGCTCCTCCGACCTGCGCTCTCTCTCCACGGAGTCGAGCGCCCGGAGCGCGTAATTGCCATCCAAGCGGCCGATGTTTCCAACTTTCCCCTCCAACAGACGCTGCGTTAACTGGAGCTGCAGTGCTCTTTTGGAATACTGGGATGTCTCGGGGAAGCTGTCGGCTGGGGATCGGGGAGAATTCTGGTTTCTGTTACCGAGCCGGATGAAGTACTCCTCCCCTAACCGTGCCAAAACCGATGGCGACTGTCGCTCTCCATCGGGGTCCGTTGCTGGCTGGTTGGAGCTTCTTTCGATGGCTCTACATTCATACGGTGGTGGAAAGGCAACGAGCAGAGCCACGGTGGTGACGAGAAAATTGAGCTTCATGTCAAAAAGTGGCGTGGAGAATCTGCGGGAGAAGTGAGTCAATTATGCGCACGATTTCAACTTCTCAGCAACTGTTTTGCGCACTCTGGGACGAAGCTCAAATCTTGACAGATCCAATTTATTTAACGCGCTCTTACTGAACATTAGCATTGCACAATTATATATTTCTAAGTCCACTTGAGCATTTACGCGCGCCTTAAAGTTGGATAGCTGGGTGCCTCATTGTGCGCAAAACACGAGGACGCATCCATAGCAATACAAACTAACTAGAATAAAGATTACCAGTTTAAGATGTTATTACCTGACGTTTACTAGGCTACCTCAATATGAGCTGTCTCATTCCAGATAAGATGTTGCGTACCTGTGCGTAATTGGTATATCCTTGGATGGTTTTTGAACTTTGCGAGGTGCGTCTGTCTTCCAGTTGTTACCTACCAAGTTATTACTTTTAGGACGTCTTCAAAGGAAGGCTGGAGTTTGCATTTATATAGCCACGGTCAGCGACAAGTGTCACGCATTTAGTAGCTTGCGTCTGCGCAGAGGGGAGAGAGAGTTGACATGAATGAACGTAAGTGAACAGTTTTCGGTTTGAATGAGTCATCGTGGTGTGTGTGTGTGTGTATGTGTGCGTCCTTGAGTGTGTATGTGTGTGAAAGAAGATGCATACAAACCAGGAGTATTTTAAGGTCCTCCATATTGATCTTCTCTCATCTTTTTTTATTATTATTTATATTATATTTAAAATGTCCCCTGTTTAAGCTTTATGCCTTTAAAAAATATAAAACGCATGGTGCGAATTATGAGGCTCCATAATCACGACTTCAATACTCTCAAACGAAGTCAAAACAAAGTTTGGTGTGAGGGCCTAAAAAGCGCATACTAAAAGTTCCCTAAAAGTTAGATGAACGTCGAACGACGAACGTCAACTGACAAAATGACACCGCACTTGAATTTATTAAATAATTCTTACACTGATTCAATTCAAATTATACAACTTTATAACTGATAAATCTATACTCTTTACTTAATGTGGGTTTTCATTGACTGGTTTTTAATATTTGGTCGCATTCTTGATCTTTGCTTAATTGCATATTCATCTCTAATGACCAAAGATGCATTTAAAGTGGTGTCACTGCAGTAATCAATTCCTTGGTCACCTTCCAGGTTGTTTCCGCCGCAAAATCGATCAAATACATCACAGTAAAGCGCAGGTTGTTCAGTTGTTGCAGCCGCAGGCGCACAGGCGTGGTGAAGCTCGGGCGATGTTCTAGCGGGTGTCACTTCTCCAGACAGCACAGACAGAGCTTTGGGTCCCGGTGATTACAGATGAGCCGCGGCAGGACCGCGTAACTCTCGCAGTCACTGCTGTCAAGTGCTGTCCTCCCCCTCACAGTCCTCGCTCTGCTCTGGCCATGAGGGAGGCTAGGAGATGGAACACTTCAGCTCGAGCCCCTTCACACCTGCTTTCAGAATGCCAATCAGAAGGCGTCTGAATCAGCTTCTAGACAATACATGCTAACATGTGTAAAGAAATGGCTAGAGGTTACATATTTCCCAAAAGATTTGAATGGAAACTCCATGCTAATGCTTAGTCTTTTCATCTAGCCATGTGGGTTTCTTTAAAAAAAAAAAGAATAAACATTTTTGCTGGTTTTAAACATTTTCACTGCTAAAAACATGCACTAGGCACTTTCAATGAATAGGATACAAAACAAGGTTTGAAATCACTTTTTCTTTTGTTCTTAACAAAAAAGTGTGCCTGACCTTCTCAAAATGCTGGCTATCAATCTCACTTTAAAAATGATTATTTTGATGTTGTAAATAAGATTAATAGAGTATTTATTACAAGAAAATACTATTTGCTATATACTACAAGAAAATAATATTTTCAAAATGTATTTGTAATTATTTGTGAATTATTCAAGCAATTTAAGCAAATAAAGTAAATCCTATCCAAGTTTTTTTTCAGTGTATGACCTGTTTTATGTTTTATTTTATATATATATATATATAAATTAAAACACTACAATGAACTGAATATCAATTCACACATTAGGTCAAATTTTCTTTGTAAAATATTCTAGCAATTATTGAGCGAAAATAGTTTCAAATGATATGAATTGAAAAACAGCTCATACACTGAAAAATACAAGCTGTGCAAGAATCACTCAGAAATTGTTAGATCACAAATCACAAAGAAATGTTGACCTATGTTGAATTGATATTCAATTTATTGTAGTATTTTACTTTATTTTCTATAAAATAATACAACAAAAACAGCTCATACACTGAAAAAAATAATGTAGGATTTAGAATTTTAGTAGGATTGTATGTCAGTGTATAAGATGTTTTATGTTCTATTCTTTTATGTAAAATAAAATACTACAATGAATTAAAATGCAATAAATTAGGCCAAAATTAGGACAATGTTGTGTGATATTAATGGTTGGATACAATCAAAAAATCAAGAATTCTGGAGTAGGAGAGGCCAGAGGAGGGATACAAACGTTTGATGTGTTTTGAACTAGCTAACATTTCATGTTTATCTAACATTTCCAGTAGTTCTTACAATAAAAGCATGGAATTTGTGCCTGTAACGCTTTTTTTTTTAAGTCGTGGGGCACCAATTTGCACCCTATTTGTGGAAAGTGCCATTACATTTATGATATGTGGGATGGGGAAGGCTCAGGGGAATAAGGCTGACGGTTAACAAGAAGAGTGGATTCAACCCAAGAATAATGTTATTATGGATAATGGCTGCATCCATCTACGATAAAGCTGACAAATGAAGAAGGCGGCAGACATCTTGGTTCTATTTTGAGCTCCTCAAAGCACCTAGTCCCTAATACACTCAAATTTACGCCGGTGATTCACTCGGTAAATTAATTATTATTATATTCGCCCCACGTAGCGCAACCGTCTGTATGATTCTAAAAGTTAGACAAAACATGAAGCAATTCCTGACATTCATTGATGTTTCAGACCGAATACTTTTTCCACTGCGTGGGAGTTTTCATTCTGATTGATTGTATGAGGCGTTCAAACAAATGATGAGGTCAAAATCTTAAGCGTTTCTGCGCAAAATAAAGTAGAGCAATTTTCCTCCTCCCTTCAGGCCCTGTGTCAAGTCCCATCATGACATGCGGCTGCTTTCTGACACAAATGCAATGTACCACCTCGCCGCAAAATTAGCTAATTCGCTCGTGGTCATCGATGTCACTGCGATTTCAAATCAACGTCTGCAAGTGGATCACAAAACACGCCACATGATGAAACACAGGAAGTGCTGTGGGCCCGGCGCATTGAATCCATACGAGCGCTTTGTATGGTTTCACTGGTGTATGCTGGCTAAAGGCATCATAATGCATATGATATGTCGTATGTTTACCAGCGGCTCTAAAGACAAAAACTGACACACTTCAGAGAGTTAGAGATACATTACATCTTGCTCCTGATCGGTGTAATACTTAACAGAGTGTCATTTGACTCTTCATTCAAGTTTATTCAACTCTTTACCTCATTTGTTCCTCACATCGCCATAAGACACTTCACTTTCATCCTTGTAATTGCATTGGATGACGGCAGCACTGTTAACAATGACGCCATTAAGCTGCACACCGTCGTCAACAGATATAGTCTATTCTGGTCAGCTGTGAGGAGAGATCAATAAAGGTTGTCAGTACCATAAATGAGTGTAAAGAGGCTTAGAGAGCCTGCTGATCTCCTTGCTCCAAATAGACTGGGGTCTGACTCAATAGAAGGGCTCATCTGTCTTCTCAATGGGGTGTTTGCTGATATGAATTGGTGTCTTTAATTGAATTCAGAAAACTCACAATATTGGTTCCCTCCTGGTTTTCAGCCGCATATTAATGGCACCCGGAGATGTTTAAAAACAGCACACTCCGATGTTTAAAGACACCATGCTGTTGTTAAGTGAAAGACTTTTCTGTATTACTCCCTTTTTATAGGTTGTGTACAAATTCACACACCTTCATAGTATGTACTGAATTTGATGAAGAACTTACTTCTCCAATGTCAATATTTGAACTTTATTGGTATTGTACCTATAGCACTTTATTTATTAATTTAAATTATCTTATATAAATCTTTAATATTTTATACAAACAAATATTTTATTATTTAATATTAATATTTTAATATTTTCCTATGACACTTTACTTAAATATTTTGCATAATATGTTAATATTTAATATTTTTTAAATATACATTTTAATATTTAATATAAAGTTTATTTATAGGAAATATAAGTTAATCAGTAATTGCAAACTAATATTTGGTCAAATCTTTTTTATGGAACAGTGGGTTGTATCCAGATTACCTTCATAATATGCACAAAATGTTCTTTAAATATAAATATAGCACTTTACATTAATATTATTGTTATTAATAATAAATATTTTCAATAAAACATCAATATTTTACATAAATATTATAATATCAACTCTTTCATATTAATATTTAAGTATTTTCCTATGGCGCTTTATTATTTTAAAAAAATTATATAAAAAATTAACATTTTATATTTTTAATATAGATATTTTTATATTTTATTTTTTTATGTATTGATTAACTTATCAGTAAATCAATAACTGCAATACCAATATTAGGCTGTGTACCTTAATAGTACAGTATGTACGAATTTCACGAAGAACGAAATTCTTCACTTTTTTTTAATATCTTTGTGCTAATACCTTTAGCACTTGAAAAGAACGTCCTGGATCACAGTTCTTAACTGTTTTTTAAGATCTGTTGGCCGCTGAGCTCTGATGGGTTTATGGGATAACAGAGTGTCCACTGGTTGCACACTATAAGGACTCTACTAGCTTTTAATCTCAAATGAACTGAATCATAATGCAAATATGGCAGAGACTTTATTTTCTGACAGAGATGTCTAAATTAATCAGCTGTGCCCTATAAGTTTTAATAAGCTTGTTCAAATTCAATTGCTCATGGGTACGTAAATGTCATCCAGGATTATAGTCCAACCAGTGGAAAGTTATAAAAAAAACAAAAAACTAAACGGAGAGCTCCAAAATCATGTCACTGCAACCCCATCAGGCGACTGTCCTTTGGATGCATGCAAAATCTGCTCTATTTGGATATTTCATTGAGAGCAGTGAGTCCATTAAGAGGTCTCTTAAAATACAAGGAGCTCTTGGCTGTCAGGGAGAGCAGATGAGGTCAGGGCTCCGAGCCGCCATCTCACCCCCTCACAAACTGGATCAGCACGGATACGCCAGAGTCACACACAGCGTCAAACATGAGCAAAATATCATCTGGCTTAATTATTCATTCAGAGTGAGCGGAGATGGTCTCCTCTGCTCCGCATGCATCTTTGATTTGTTACTTTGAATATATTACATATCTGGGCCTAATTAAGTTTTCCATTGATAATTTGAAGCTTGTTGTTCTGCAATAGAAAGCTTTGTTATTTTGACGGATATTTTGGGAAGGCATGTCTAATTGTGGGAAGGAACAAAGATTTTCCTGTGTATTACAAAAGAAATGTACCTTTTGTTCTGCCACCCACAGGTCTGTTTATTAAGAAATGCAGTAGTTCACAGCTAATATGAATACAGTCTGCAGTCATGATTCATGAATGATAAGTTCTTCTATTTTGCTACTTTAAGCACTGTTGTTTTGAATTGTTTATACAGCAGGGATTTTATCTTTTTAAATTAAATGTAAATTAAATAAAATTCCTGACTGAACAAAATCTTTTTCTAAGTCCAGATTCCACTTTCCACATTCTTCACTGTTGGCCTTTGTTGTTGAATCACCTTGAGATGATGAGGAGGCACAGATATTCTGCCAGTAAAGCCATTCTCTACTGCACCCGTCCCTTTCTGGTTTCATCTTACTCGTCCAGTTTTGAATTATCTGTCACAGACAGTGTAGGATCCCTGTCTTTTACCTTTTTCTGACACTTCTGACTTTGCGATTTGCTGGGCCTGACAACACATTCCTTTGTTGTTGAATCACCTTGAGATGATGAGGAGGCACAGATATTCTGCCAGTAAAGCCATTCTCTACTGCACCCGTCCCTTTCTGGTTTCATCTTACTCGTCCAGTTTTGAATATCTGTCACAGACAGTGTAGGATCCCTGTCTTTTACCTTTTTCTGACACTTCTGACTTTGCGATTTGCTGGGCCTGACAACACATTTCTTACTTTGTCTGTGACAT